AACGTTCATTAAAATTACATTGTCGACCACTTGTTGTAATGCATCATGAGATATGCAACCTAGTGTAGGCGTAAATTGTCGTTGACATTGCTTAATGGTTTATTTCTGAAATGAAGGTGCCAATGCTAATTGAGATCGAACGTCACAAACATTTTATTTGGCAGTGGATCATCAGACTAGTGCTGGTAGTCATTGTAGTTGGCTATGGGAAAGCACAAATCCAGTCTCCCAGCGTCACCCACTTTTAGGCAAAAGATTCTGTTTTCCAATGAGCTTTAACAGAAGGATAGTGTCAATTAGATCGGCACTTAAACCCCTTAAGGAAGTTCTCACAGACTTCATAAGATGCAACTTATTGCTTTCAATCTTTTCAAAACACATTGTCTGAAAAGAAGTCTAAAACCTGGCTGCCAGGAGTGATCAAATGGAATGTGAATTCATTACTGTACAAACGACTAAAACAACAGCTGTTGGCTGTCTACACTAGAAAGTTTTCCCTCAATAGGACGAACTTGTTAGCCAAAAGGCAGGAGCCTATGTGTCTCCCGTAAGTCAAGCCCATTGACGCAACCAACGATTTTTCAAGGACGTTGACTACACCTATCATTTGCCGTAGCCGAAACCACTTCGAATTTTGGACGTTTTCTTTCTAGTGTCGGAGAATTAATATGTATTTCAAACAGAAATCTTGATGGCTAGCATTCCAACGAATGGAGGTTTGTAGACAGAAGTTGATCTCTACAAAAGACGGATAAGAAAAATTGCTTGCGCCTCGCTGTCGACGAAGAGCGTTTTATTTTAGTGTATTTTGGTTCCCTTTGTCAAACGCTACCGTTAGAACTGTCAGACAGCAGTTTTCTTAAGAATTAAACGAAACCTGCTCGTACTGATTAATTATTAGATCAAGGAAGTGACTTTTGGGGAGTGAGAAGCAACCAACACTTTATAAATGTTATTATTTGATGCATATAGTAATTTGATTTCATTACACCTCGTTAGCCTACTTAGCTTGTGGAAGCAACGTTGAAGTGACTTAGTTTGTCGATATTTTACCGCAATTTATCCTATGGTCTTTTGTTTAATATGATTTATGCCGTTATGAGTCTTTAAATCACGCACGCCACCAGGTGCGGTATTCAGTCTTTTAATAACTAATAAAAACACCATTTCCGACCTTGACTTCCTACATTTTTCATATGGGTTCAAAGGAGCCTTTGGCAAGCACACGTAAATTTTCAGTAAATTCTTATCGGACCATTACATTCATATGGGAAATGCGTCAAAGGTAAAACGTGCGGACAATTTATTTTCGTTTTTTTATCCATGTGAGTCCTGGGAATAGGCAGGGTGGGCCCCGATAAGAGAAGACTGAATACGCGCCGTGAGGGTATGTGGAGCAAGTCCAAGAGACAGGAAGAGTTTTGAAGAGTGCATACAGCTAAACGACCGTTGGCCATGCCATGCGCAGAGCTTGCTAGAGGTCCTCTCGTGCACACAAGACCAGCTTTCGCAATCTTATAGAGGTTGCTTCTGTTGTTACTAGCAGACGCTGACGCAGGGACTTGGAGTTGTTTGGTGTGACTTTATAAAGCACCCAGGGAGCTTTGTTGGGGTCCGCACTATGTTCGGAATTAGCGCTGTTTCGTGCTCATGACTTCACCGTTTTTCCTCCATACCAGGAGGCGCTTCCTTATTCTTGACAACAGGTGTGGATTCGTGCGACCGATATGACGTACCCAACAGGGAAAGTAAATGAGTAGATGCACACGAAAGCGGTCTGAGCTGGAAACCTATGTTTTCCTTCCCCTTGCAAGACTGAGATCGATGAGAATACTACCCGAACTCTCGCGGCTGGGCAGACTCAAGAAACAACTTGATCCAGACGTCATCTTAGGAGTTCACTACCTTTGAAGAGGGACCTTAAGGAATAGCATTTTACTTTCCACAGTTCGTGTAGTGTGGTCTATTTGTCTCGCTACCATACTCTTTCTAATAAATCTACAGGATAACCGTTCCGCGAAGCAGCTGCCGGATTTCATTAAGCTTTCACTCAGTACAAGCTAGCTTTTTGCACCCAGCAGCGGACTAGATTGCGCTTTTGTTAAATGGGCCGTCTCTTAACGAGCCCCACTTTCCCAATTCCCATGACTCAGTTGGATGAAATGACCAATATAATTGACCACATGTTTTACTGATGTTGTATTCTACCATACTAGCAGGCCAGGTACTAGTTAAAAGGACCATGGTTTACACTTGACCCTGTTCCCATCTTAATTTGCTGGGCCGATGATAATTTATCGAAAGCGTTCGTATGCTCGTCAATTGCTCTTCGGATGTTTCTGATGGTTACCTATATGAGCCAGAAGAAGACGGAAATCCTGTGTCTTCTACGAGTACATGGCTGACACGCATGACAGACTTTATGCGAATCCTTCCAAAGAGAGTTCTAAAGCACTTGAAGCAAATCAATTATTTAAATGTAATCTAATTAATTACTTCGCAGTTCTAAATAATTCTCAAAATGAAAGACCAAAAGTAGGACTGACGTAGATAAAAGAGTAGATAACACAATTCTTAATGTAAGATTACTCGCAAACGTCCAGCAAAATAATAAGCATTCATCGGATCCCATGAAGGCCTCTGAATGTTCTACAAGGTTCACAAAACCCCGGAGTCCATTAGCGCAAACACTGTGTCAACATAGTTCGATTTGCTGCGGGCTGGCACTGAAGATGGATTCAAGCCAGCATCCGAAACGTCGGGCCAATAAAGCAATAATATCTTTTCTTTCTAAACAGTTTGTACTTTTGCTATATCTTAGTAATAGCTGGGAATCAGTGCGCACTTGCTATCATTTGATAGATCATAGGAACGATCCAGCCTACGCTTTTATACCGATCGTGCTTTTTGATCTTCATGGCCGCTACCAAAGAAGTTAATGACGGTCCGCTCCAATCACTCACTACTCCCTTTAATTACCCAACACATTCAACGGCCGAACCCAGTCCACTATGAGAAGTTACTATCTGCGCACTCGAAACATGTCGCTATTTATAGTCACGCGAGAGGTGCGCTTAATCCATCTGGATTACCAAACGTAACATGTTTTTTTCGTTTTAGCTTGCGGTCCGAAAAGGGATACAAATCTATTTTGCCCTTCAAATGCCTTTTTGAAGCGTCCGTTGCCTAGGCTAATAAGCCTTCTCTCCCCTCCTTAATACAACAGGCGCGCTGTGTTAAATGCCGGGTGGATTAAGGGTTTGTGTTTGGACTGAGTTTAACGGCAAGGGGGGCTATCGTTTGATTAAAGGCCGGACTTGGTTTGGACTTGCAAACAAGTAAATGTGGAATTAATCGCAAGGCTCTTTGTCCTAAAATAGAAAACTCACATTTCTATCCAACCACAGCGTCACTTGCCCCCGACTTGGGTATATTTGGTGTTAAATTGATATATCCGACTGATATAGTGTTTATCTCATATTCCCGATGAAAATTAAGTTGATGTTCTATTTTGAAGTCCTTTTTTCCACCGACATGAAAACAGACGGCTGGTAATGATGCAGGGGTCCAAAGGACAATCCCGACCTCCCAGGCTCGCCAACGATCAATTGCATTGTTCGGCTTAAACGAGTCTATTAAATGTCTCACTACAGCTGTTACCCTAACTTCATTCCTTTCTATGAATGTTCCGATTTTAGGTTCGATATTATGCTCAAATTCTTCTTGTAGTTAACCTCCTTATCTTCAGTTATGAGAACGCAGAATCCCCAACGAAACAGTCAGAGGATTGGCAATTCTCCTTTTTATGTGGTGACAGTTTACGTTTTTTGCCCCAACCTTGCCTCGTGGCCTATGTGGAATGTGTGGCACGGACACCCATGTTGTGTGGGAGCCGGGATCGGAACTGGTGTGTCAAAATCTTGGTCAAGCATAAACTGTGCCTAGGTGGTGTCTGAGTAAGTGTGTTGCACGGGAGCCCAGGATGTGCGAGCTGTCGCCACGCCCATCCTTTTGCTGTCATATTAACACCCTGGTTAGGTGATTGTTGTGGATCAACGAGCGTTTTGGTATACTCAGGTGCGAATATTTGTCGTGCCCGTCGCCAGCGCCTGCTCTCGCGTCTGGTATTCTTGATTTTGTTTTGACACTGAGCACTATGGGTAAGGGAGAAAGCCAAAGTGCAGTAGCTGCAGTACAAGTCTACTGTCCACGCGTTTGCCTTCAGCCTACAGGAATACGCTGTGATATGGTCGAACACAGAATCCCAGCGAAATTGTCAGAGAGTTAGCAATTCGCCCTTCTATTTGGTGGTAGTTTGCGTTCTTAGGCCCAACACGGAGCTTGCTTCGCTGCCTAAGTACTTATTAGTGGATTAATCGAGGCTAAGTGTGACACGGAGACCCAGGTTGTGGGGACTGGGATTGGAACTGGTGCCCTTATTCTGTTGTTGAATGAAACTCTTGGTCAAGCGTAAACTGTGACCAGGTGGTGCATAATTAGATATGTTACACAGAGGCCCTGGTTGTATGAGCTGGGATCTCTGCCGCCCCGTCATCCTTTTGCTCATGTGATAAAAACATGGTCAGGTGTTTGTTGTTGACCGGAAGTGTTGTGGTAGAGAGTATGAAAGATGCATTGAACGTCACTTAACGTTAATTCATGCGTAGGTTATTCCGTTTGCTTTCATGCCTACTGAAATGCGCGGTCAATATGGTCGAATTATCATGTGCTGAGTAGACAACGACATTAAGGAGAAGGTATAGTCCCAAGTCGTAGTTTCTTTGATGGCACACGGCCACGTATTTGAGGTTTACGAGGGCGGAATATAGTAAGACTGGGGACAACCGTATTCGCTACGAGTCACCTAAGACAGGACTTTGCAGCCTACAGTTTAAGTCCAGATTCTACAAGGGGTTTCACGAGAAGTCGTACATTTATCTTTCCGCTTTTAAGTGCGGTTAACTAAGGCAAATTGGATTTTGCCTTATGTTTCGACAAGAATGCCATGGAAGCAGTTCGGTGATTGAAAATGTATTTAGGCACGCAGAACATATAATGGACTTTTGTGTGTATGAAGACAGTATTGCATACGTAAAATGTCTTTGATGTTTTGAGTCAAGATGAACTCCGCTGACTTTCAGAGTACCGGTCAATATTTGTTTATACATAAGGATTATCTGACTTCCAAATAGACTGCCAATAAAAGTAGGGTTCGGCGCTACGTTTTCATCAAAACCTCATCGCGAGATAAATAAAAACCCAAGGAAAGTCCACAATGAATATACACCGGATCAGATTAAAACCCTCTATCTTACACGTTACTTTTGCGAAAATACTTTAATAAATTATTTTGTTTAAGCATATCCTTTCAGTTTAGTTTATTTTAGGGGAAATTAGGTGTGTACTTTTGAACTCCATAAAAACTTAAAGAACAGGCAATCAACACAGCTAACCACTCCGCCACATTGGCAATAGTCTCAAGATACTTGCACTTTCAAAACATAAATTCAGGGTAAAAATTGGAATGTTGTGTTGGCCTTTTCAAGTAACTGAAACGCAGTGATTATTTTCGTATTACTAACGAAGAACTCATACTTGTTTTTTACACTGAAGACATTTTTGCCTCCGTTTCATTTACGTAAATTTACATCATGGTGACTATATAAATGCTAAGGCATTGCCGGAAATCCAAATCTACTGCCTGGTGTGTTTTCAAAGTAGGCATAAGAGAAAACTAGACAAAGATAATCTAGGGGTAATTTGAGAGGGGCGGAAAAATGTCAAAATCTCTCAACTAATGACTGGCCGTAGGCATGGCTTTTTTTGGGGAAAAATCACACAGAATTGCAAACCCAGTTTTCTATAAGCAGCCTCGGTTTTTTCATCCGGCTTCCTCTGACTTATTTAGATAAATAAGGAAATGTTTAAGGTTAAGCATATGCTATTTGGTTAAATTATGGAGTTGAGATGGCTCGCTTCTCAAACGTATTCTGGGATAGCTATTAGCATAGTGAACTGCCTAAATAGATGGCAACATGGACTTTAATTTACATTTTAAAAGTTTTTGACGGATAAAATAAGGTACAAACATAATCTGCGTGCAAATGGGGACATTTTTTGGAACAGGTTACGCGAATAAATCACATGAACAACAGTGAATGTGTCTCAAACTGAAAGTCTTGATTTTCGTCATCACTGTTTATGGATTCTCACACTTACTGCATGTCGTAACACATAAACTACGATCCTGGTCGTAATTACACTTACATGATTCTTACAATCTGATGATGTACTCGAGTTGAAATCCAAAAGATCAGACAGATAAAACTCCTGTCGCAGCAGTCCTATTTGCATCGGTGAACACTTTCGGTTACAGTCAAACAAAATACCCACCTATGCGATTACAAGCTCCCTTTAATAACAAAGAATTGACGCTGTTCTTATATCATATATTTGTAGAAGATCCAGATCGGTTGGCTTACTGGCTTCTGGACTCAAAGCGCCCGGTTCGCCTAATCCGCGACGAAATAGTGCCGGTTATGGCGGACTGGATGGTCCAGATCTGCCCTGCAACGGCCTTCGCCGGTGTCGAACCGGTTTTGGCAGCAGCCTCAGCACGGTGGCCGGCCTGTCTACAGACTTTGGAAACTCCTCCCTCCCTGACCACTATCGCCTACTCCTGCTATCCACACCCATACATCGACCGTTCTCGGCAAGGTAGGTGCAAAATAAGAAACAAGGCTTGCGTTTATTTCCAATTTACTTGACCCAATTATTTTATGGAAAACATACACGAAAAAAATTATTTGTTGTAATCGTTTGGTAGCAACCTACGCCTCCTTTAAATTTTATGCGTAACGAAAGGGTATCTTTTGGTTTAAAAAATTCTAATTATGAGATTTTTTGCGATTGTGAGGTGTTCATTCACAATACAGTAGGTGCACATTCTCATGAAAAACGTTGGAAAACGTAATGTATGTCATTTTGAGGGAAGTCAGCACACGCGGCTTGCCCCTAAACTATCATAA